TAGAATGATCTTTCGGAAAACGCCGAGACAGATAAATTTTGTTTTCGAAGGGGATAATAAAGTCAAATGTGTTTACATGAACTTTTTTTTTTTTATTGTTTTGATGTATATAAGCCATAAAATATTTCCTATTAATTCTGGGACACATCCTGTATATTCAGTAATTCATAAAAATGTACAAACACCTTTTGAAATTTATTAATTTGTTAGGTAAGATGTTTTGAATTTTTCAATAGAGACATGGAGTATAATAGAAGGTATTTGTAATATATAAAACAAATAGTTTTTCATTGCAGCAGTAATAGAAGATAAAACTGACCTTTTTACAATTCTTTATTAAGATCTTGTAACAGATATAGCTGATTCTAGGATTAGTTGATTTTTATCTTTACAAGATGCATGAAAGACAATATAAAATTTAAAAATTTAATTTGATAGAATGCATATGTTTGTTTCCAAAAAAAAAAAAAAAAAAAAAAAAAGAAGAAGAAGAAGAAAAATTATTAATAAAAAAAACTTAACAAAAAGAAAAAAGACCGTTTTGTAGTTTTCATCGCTGAGCGATGAACAATTGTTTTTTTTTAATTTTTCACACATACTACATATATCATGTTAATTTTTTCATAGTTATGGAAAAACTTCGAAGAATTTCGTTTAGTTTAAAGAAAGAAATGAAAATTCCAAAGATTTCTGAATATTTTTGTGATTCATTGTATTATAGGAACGAACTCGATCGTTTTTGAACTAGGGATTCGGCCGTATCTCAATATTGTCCTGTCGTAAAGTTAAACAAAGGTCATGCTGGTAGGCTAAATGGCGCGTTCAAAATCGGACGAAGATAAATACCGCGGTTCGTTTGCCAGGTATCGTTTGTCGTCGGTTTTTCGATCAGTCGGCCGTGCGCTCGCGCTCACGAACACTCGCTTACGGTCGTTAGGCGCATATAAAGCAAGCGTTTGCCTGATGAATGAACTCCGATCTTGACGGGGAGCCCTCTTCTATGCGATCGTGTAAAAGCACCCGAGAGAGGCACCCAAAGGCTTTCCGCGGTCGTTATGGGTATTTGTACAACACAATTTATCTCGTCCCGAGGCCACGACGCGCCGTACAAAAGCCGTGCGACCGTGCCGTGAACTCGACTCAAGGCATGGATCCGCCGTAATAATCGATTACCGCCAGTGAAAGGAAGAGAAATCATCGGGTTCGAATCGAGGGAGGGAAAGACGAATTTGCACGCAAGCTTTTTACTTCGAACGAATTTTTGACGGATTTAAACGAAGTATTTTCAAGATAAAGGAAATAAATCGAAGATTTCAATGGAACCATACACGCCTATAACAATGTAACGTGATACTATCAAAACATATTATTTTCTACCTTTTCAACGTTCTTAATAATTTCATGTTTATATTCATGAAGTATTTCCTTTTTCCATTTTATTTACAAAGGCATGGAGATTAATCGGTTAAAGAATTTTTTTTCAAGCAAAAGAAAGAAAGAAGAAAAAAAAGAAAAAATAAAAAAAAGAAAAAGAAATATTTTAAAAAACGTTCATCATAAGATATATTTACTGATGTTTTTCAGATCTTATTTATTACCTAGTAACAAGAGAAAGTTCTTGTTTAAAAATGTTATATACCAATGATTTGTTTATGAACGTGTTTATATCCATTACACTTAAATACATATATATATGGTGAGATAATAATTTTAATCATTTTGAACGTACGACCTTTGGTAAAGGAAGTTTCTTTGTATCTTTAACAAGAACGGAGATATTCAAGATGATCAAAATTATTGGTCTCACACTGTATATCGCTGATTCTAGAATATCCTGTATCGCTTGTGAATATAAGGAGCACGATGTAAGGAGTGGAGAATCTCGGTCTCTTGGTAGGTCTGAATACAGACGGTGTTGTACGATGTTCAACACGAATGTTCACGTGTGCGTTTGAGGTCGCTAGCACGTTCATATGTACGGTCACATTTGGTAATAGCAAGTAACCACATCTATGCAAACGGTGTCCGCAGAAACGACACATTGTGGTTTTTCCTCGCTCATTATTCTTCCTGGTTCATTAATCTGATCGATGTCAACTCGCTCAAAATATCATTTATTTTCTTCTTTATGTTATAACCGATATTCTTAGATTATTTACAATTAATCCATTTACGGCTTGAATCGTGATCGACGATTTTATTTTTATATTTTTTGACAATAAAAAAAAAAAAAAAAAAAAAAAAGGAACAAGTTCAAATGCGATATAATATTTAAAAAGATCGTCGGTAAAGTGTCTGACTTTTTATAATTAGTTATAAAGCTATCCCTTTTTATAACAGAAATTTTTACGAAGGAAAATATGATGTTTTATTGACCGAAATTGTATCTCTTAATGTATCCTCATAAAACGTGTCTGCCAACAGAACGAGCGTTATAACGAAAGAATAATTGTCTCACGCAAACAAGCTCGAGAAATAACTATTTCGAATGATTAAGATAAATGATTCACTCTTTCTCCGAGTAAACGTTTACGATAACGAAGCGTCTTACAAGATATTTAAGAACGATGTCATTTCGTTTTAACGTTCTTCGTTTTAAGATTATACGCTATATTCATTGGGTAACTTTGAAATTTGCGCATTCTCAAAGAATATCGACTTGTCGAAGGAGGGAACGAACGTGAGAGGCGATAAACGGAAGATGAGAACGAGTCGTAATTTAACGGCCGACGGAAAGAAGAACGATAAAAGCCGGAAACAGATGCAGAAGAGGGCATGTCGGCATCGGACGCCGTTGGGTTACGAGGGGTGATCTCGCTTGCCCTTCGAGTGATTTATGAACAGACGCAGCGACTCCATCTACTTGACCCGTTCACCTCGTTACAAAGGATAATGTATTCGTGAGAGGCCAACCTCGGCCGGCAGCGGTTCTTCCGCATGGTGTCTTCCTCTCTACGAAAGTAAACCGAAACGAAACGAACCGAACAGAACCGAATCGAATCGAAAACGGAATATAACAGGGAGAAATAATATAATGCCATGCAAGATTCGTATCACGAGCAGCGATAAATTTTCTTTTTTTTTTCTTTCTTTTTTTTTTCTTTTTTTTCTTATCCGATATACCTATCGTAAAACGCCTTCCTTCGTATCTTTTCACTTACTATATTCGTACGAGCGCGCCTAAGAGAAAATAATTCTTTCTCCTTATATTCTCATTCATCAATAAGCTAACGCTATTTTAATGAATCAAAGAGCATTAATTCAATTCGCATTTGTTTTAATACGTAAGCAAATCTTTATATCAAGCGTTTAAATTCGTTTACCTTTTTCTTTTTTCTTCCTATCTAACGCATATATATATATGTGTGTGTGTGTATACGTATGTATGTATTAATGTATACTATCTTATATAATCTCTTATTATCCTCGATAAGTAGGTTCGCGTTTTACTACCATTTACTAAGACACGAAAGACTTCAAAGATTGTATTTCAATTTTGTAATAAAAGTTTTAAAGATAACGGCAGTGTCAAAACGAACGGTCGTTACAAAGGCACCCATTGTAAGCCACGTCAGCTGCATCAATCCTAATCTTTGACATATCTTCGATTTTACTTTTATGAGCGATTGTAAAACGTTGTAACGTTTAAAGTCCTTTGATATTTTTCAAGAATTTATTGTAGTCATCTCGAAAGAACGAGTTTATAAAGAATCGTATTACGATATTTCAAATTGCCACCAATTTGAAAAGTGGTTAACAATCTTGAAAATAATTATCAGGGAAATTTTAGGAAGGATAGAAAAGAAAATACAACTTATATTCTCTCAATAGTTCCTCGTATTTCGATTTTAAAAAGTACCAATGGGAGATCAAATAACATAGAACAACGATAACTTGAAAAATACAAAAATCCCACCACATCCATCGAAGATACTAAAGTCTAGGCGATAGAATCTCGACATTCACAATGTCTGCGATCGCGTTTTATAATTTTATCATACTAGAATAATAAATCTATTTACAGATAATATTTTCTAACATTCGATCTTCGTTTCTTCCTTAGTTAATAGAATATCGAAGACGCAAGTTAAAAGCGTCACGCGATATATACTAAAACTTTGGTTACGCAAAAATAGATGCGGCACAATGTAGATATGTATACACAAACATATATATATATGTGTGTATATATATATGTATATATATATATATATATATATACATATATATACACATATAGGATATTTCAAATATTTTGGTACAGTCAGAAGGGTGAGCGAATGAATTTATGTGAAAAGAACAAGTAGAAAATGTAGAGAGTGATATTATTTGTATAAAGTTTCATTTCCAAATAAATCAATTCGTTAAAGATTCTCGAATATATATATATATATATATAAATATATATATAAATATATATATATATATATATATATATATATATATAAATGTACTTACACATGACTATGCCGTAGATTTGTTTTTATTATATTTTTATTTATGAATATCATTGATATCATGGCTAATCATTTCCAATAAACAATTTTTATATACTTAACGATAACAAAAACTGCAGTGAAATATATTAGACGAAGGTGTAAATATGAGGTTGTGTGTAAGTATAACCCTTTTTCGATTGTACCAAAGTGTAAATACCCTATATATATATATATGTATACGTATATACGATATACCCAGTGATCGCATGAATTTCTATTTTTCTCGAAAGATAGACGGACACAGAAATTTATGAGTATTTCTTTTACGTCGTCGTAGATCTCTTTAATATACGCAGAAACGCGTACAATGATAATATGTATGAACAAATGTACAGAAAAGGTCGTGTATGAGCAAAAGAGAGAGAAAGAGAGAGAGAGAGTGAGAGAGAGGGTGAGAGTAAGAGAGAGAAAAAGAGAGAGAGAGAGAGAGAGAGAGAGAGAGAAAGAGGAAAGAGAGAAGCAGAAAGAGACAAGGGATAAAGAGAATGAACAAGAAAAACATACACATTTAAAAATTTAATAGATACATGGTAAGAAAGCATAATCGCGTCTTTGGGCTTTAATAGACAAAAATGTAATCTCTTCCAATCTTTCTCTCTCTCTTTTTCTCTCTCTCTTTCTCTTTTTCTCTCTCGCTCATCTTTGTAGAGAAAAAATCACAGTCGGGGGCTCTTTCGATCAGTCGAAACAGAATCTCGAGAATAACTGGCTCTGTTTTTCTCCTCATTGATGAAGTCCGGATGCCGCACCAAGCCTTGGTGCGGCGTAAAGCGAGTACGGTGAGAAGTAATGCGGATGTGGATGAGATGGAGGTGGTAATACATGAGCGGGATGGGTTGGAGGTAAAGGAAAAGCAAGAGACGAAAGTGAATGAGGTATCATTGGTGGTGCGGGTTTCCCGTAAGGATGATAACGTGCTGTAGCAAGTGGACTGAGCGGTGGTGTAGGATAAGTTCTTGAAAAAAAAGGATGCGTGGATGGTAAGGCTAAAGAATGTGGCGGAGGTGGTGGTAGCGGAGGTGAGAGCATTGAAAGTGCCGTTGCAGTAGCCACGGCAGCGGCAGCAGCGTTGGAAGGATCGGTAGTGCTAACGGAATTCGAAACGGAAGCATTCGTATGGCTTCTGAGATGTTGAAGGAGCTCCTCCGAGGTGCCAAAGCGTTTGCCACAGTAAACGGTGTCACCAGCCATCCAGTTGCAGACATACGGAAGCTGCGAAGCAGCAGCGAGAGCACTCAATTGCGCGTGGGCGTAGGCAGCCGCTGCGACGCTAGCTGCAGCAGCCGTTGACATTCCGGAGCCGTAAGGCGAGCCGGATCCAGATTTATGATCACACTGGACGCAACCGGATGGGCAAGAAGAAGACGAAGAAGAAGAAACTGTTGAAGGAGCTGGAATTGGACTCGTTGAGAGTTTACCGTTCGCCTGAATGCTCGCTTGTTGAGGAACGCTCGTGCCGGTAGTTGCTGCAATAGCGGCTGCTGCTGCAGCAGCTAAGAGGTGAGAGTTCAGTTGACAACCGGTGCAATAGGGATCCCGACAAAGACCTATGGACGATGCATCGGTTCCACTGCTGGACGATGATTTCAAACGACTACTGTAAGCCAGATACGGATTCGTTGGGTTACCTATGAGCCCACTTTTCAGTGCGTGCTGATGCGGAGACAATAGCGAGCTACCAGCTGACATAACGTCTATTGGTAATTGCGAACCACCATAGGCTAAGTGATAAGCTGAACTTGTCGAAGGAGGTAGACCGAGCTTGAAGGTACCGAGTGGTAGATCCTTGATCGATGGATCCGTCATAGCTAATACTCCGGCAGGGCTGTAGGAATTTGGCCTTATTGTAGGGCTATCATGGCGAGGTCCTCGAGTAGAGGAACTCGTTGAGATTCCATCGTTTGGACTTGCTTCGCCAATATATACGGCACCTTCCGGTGTAGTTGTTTTTCTTCCTTGTGGAGTCACTGCACGGGTCGAGGAAGCACTCTGATTGCTCGAACATCTTTTGTTATTATTATTTCCTGGTGTTCTGGAACGAGCGGATGTCGAATGACTGGACGCCGATCGTTGCTGATCTTCCGGACTGGAGGTTTTTTCACGACCAAAGGATTCGTGAGAATTTTTTGAATTTGATCTACCAATTACATCGTTCGTTGGAGTTCGCCTTGATGGTGAACTTCTCTCGCGTGAGTGATCACGATTAGATTTTGAGGATTTCGATGATTTATCCGAGTTGCTCAATAGAGATCTGCTTGACGGTGGATCCGCTCCGATCTGGCTACAGGTCTGTGCGAGTAGAGCGAGAGGACTCTTTTTTGCATCTAGCTAAAATATTGAGAAAGAAGAAGATTAAATTTTGTAATCGTCAAATTTCACTAAAGTGTTTAACAAATATTAGCATGTATTATGCATAATGTACATGTAAATACGAAAGTGTTAACATGAAAATGAAGGATAAAGAAAAAAAAAAAGATAGTTAAAAATGTTATCGAATGGAAATGTTTGTAAATTCATACGATACAGGTAGATTTAGGTTAGGGTTATAGCCGCGATAGCTAATATCATAAAATGAAATGTTACGTATCTGTATGTATATATCTAAAAAAATCTATAGATTCCATGCGAAGTATGAGGCAAACGAGAGCGTAGCGTGTTCGTGATTTGTTTACGTTAAAGCGTTTGGCCAAAGGCGATCGATCCATCGTTGTGACCGACGGAGGCATCGTAAAACGTTGCTTTCGGCGATGTTCTCTGAACGAAAAATCATCGCTCACAGTTCTCTGGATTTTGATCCGACGTGTTTTCGAAAGCTCGCCAAATTTTCGACTTTTATTGGGCAGTTGTTAAAGCCGGATACAATATTTTTGATTTATCGGAGTTCATTCATTCACACGACTGATATCCACGAAAAAGAATCGTCATATCGGAAGTATCGTTCCGCGATACGATCGACAACGTCGAGAACAAAGAGAATAATTCTCTCTTGAGCTCTTAGCCGTTCGATCATTGTCTATGAGCAACGACGAGTCATTAATCTCAAGACGATGGAAACGTCGACGGAACGTCATAAAGATCTTTACACCGTCGTCCAGCTTCTTCATTAATTTATTATTCGTGAGGCAAAGGTTCCCCCTTTGGAAATCGCATTTCAATACGAGCGACTGACGTGGCCGTCTTTACGAGAAGCGTTTTTCATTCGCGTCACGGAGCGTACGCGATCAGTCACGCGTTCCGGTAGGAGAGAGGATTGGTGGGGAGAGAGCGAGGAGAGGCCAACGAGAAGGATTTATGTCCGTCATCATGACGGATAGAAAAGGTAGAAATAGAAAAAGGGGTTTCACAGGAAGAAGAGGTGGAGAAGGAGGAGTAGTAGGAGGAGAAGGAGGAGGAAGAGGAGAAGGACAAGAGGAGACATATCGATGCTTTTGCGTCTTTCCTAAAGAAGAAGAGGAAGCCCTCTTAGGCGAGAGGGAGGTAAAGTAAGAACAATCTTCTGGATGGAAGATTGATCCATTCGAATGATGCTACGATTGGCACGAGCAATATATAGAATGTTTCTAAACGGGAATGGAATATAAGATGAAATAAAATAAAAGGATCCTGTTGTTATTATGGAATGCAAAATTGTTTCTTGATAAAACAAATCTGACTTAAGGAATTAACGATTTTTATCGTTTTATCAAATATAAATATTTATAATCATTGATAATAAATATTCATTACATTAAAACATTTCTTTTAAGCCTCTTGTTAAATTATATTCATTTCGTACGTTCAACCTGTTATTTAATTGTTTTCTATTTTATGTCGATACTACATTGTTTGTTTCGTTTTCATCATTAATCATTAAATCTAAGATCGTTTCTGTTTTATCGCTTTTATTATTAATTTTTAATTTTTATTTTCTATTTCTTTATTATTATTATTATTATTTTTTTTTTTTTTCTTTTCTTTTTTTTTTCGATAGAAACGCTTGGTATTTCTGTTAACGGTCTACAACGCGCACACATTGGCGGTATCCGTCGAACGGCCAATATATACAGCGGATGTGCCTCTCGTAGGCGTAATTAAAATGCAACGTCCGTGGTAAAGCCGAGGCGCGGCAGCGTGCACGGTGAAGCACGTCGAGAGAGGCGAGGCGTGAGTTTGCTCGTGCTAATGGCGCAACGCCGACACCAACGTCTGTTGTATCGGTGCTGTCGTGAATTACTTTGGCCAAACTATTTACGACGAGTAGAAAGACTATAATCTATTAATCGCGTCCATGAAACTCAACGGTAAACTAAACGTTAATATTTTTGAGCTCTTAACCCTGTCAGAGTTAACTTGTAATTATGAAGAAGAGATCGTTCGTTTTATTCTGTCAGATATACGTCCAACAAAAATGATCAGCTATTTTATATAATAGTCCTCCTGGCAATCCGACGGACAATCGAGTTTTCGAAATATTATTGCAATATGAGAGAGAGAGAGACATGGCTCCGTTCCTTTAACTAAATGAGAACGACTATTATGAAACGAGATCGTTGAAAGCTACGTGATTTGCTATTTTTCATTGTAACTGATGATCATTCTTTCTTTTTTTTTTTTTTTTTTTTTTCTTTTATATCATGATAATCACCTACGTACATTTTAAAAGATATAAGAGAATTCTATAGAATAACAATGATTATCATTTTTTCCTTGGAATTACATAAAATTGATTACCGCATTTTGAAAGCTTAACGATGATTTTGCGATTATTTCAATTGTATAAGTGAATAATTAGCGATATTTGTTTATTATCGTTTATACTTTCAAAATTTTTAATATTTTTTTTTTTTTTTTTTTTTACTTTTAAAAGTTATTATAACCTGAATATTATTGTGTGAAGTAATTCAAGGACTCGATGTATCAAAATTTTCCAATAACGTTGAAAATCCACGTTACGTATTTATTAACGTGAAAGTTTCCCCGATGCTTTGTTCTATGACTGGTATGCGCGAAAGCTTTGAAAGCTGTGAAACGGAACAATTGTTGACAACTACGAAACGGTCTTTCGATTTGAATGTTATTGTTTATTAGCAACGCTCCGCGGTCACACCATCGACAGCTCGACACAAAAGCGACGTGTAAAAAGAGAGGGGGGAGGGAGACCAATGGAAAAGATAGATAGAGAGAGAGAGAGAGAGAGAGAGAGAGAGAGAGAGAATTAGAGAAAGATAAAAAAAGAGAGAACTATAAAATATTTAAGGCAATAGCCCTTACATAAATTTTTAGATATTTCTTCGAAAATAAAAAGAAAAAAAAATCACGTTATCACGTTATCACGATTGCACTCTTACTCTCTCTCTCTCTCTCTCTCTCTCTCTCTTCTTTTTTCATTAAAATAATATTTTTGTCTTATGAAATAAAACAAAAAGAAAAAAAAAAGAAGAAAACAAGAAAAAAAGAAATTAGAATGACATCGAGTGACTATACTAACCGTAGTTGGTAGAGGAGTTAAATAATCCGGACATAGGTACTGATTCGTGTTGGAAGCCAGCATCTTAAAGAGCGCTTAAGAGCGCTCGCTTTCTTGTCCGCTCTTATTCTTCTCTTTTCTTTATAAATCGTTTCTTCAAAGTAGAAATCCCAAAGTAGAATCCGGCGAACGAAATCGCTCTTTATTTATATATTCACTTGGCCGAGCTCCTACACCGTTTGAGCTCTTCTTTCTAATCTTTTCACTAATAATAACTCTTTTCAGTACACTTTTCGAAGGGCCTCGAGGTCCCTGTAGGGTTCCGTAGGCGAGAAAATTAGATTGTTGTGCGATCAGCGACATCGAATCGAACGAGAAGCGAAGGCAAGAAAGCCGGATGGTACGCGCACGCACGTCCTTTTAGTTCGGAGGTTACAGCGGCGACTGAAGCGCTCGTGCGCTTCGAACTCTCCGTTCCTCCGTCCCACCTCTACCCTACGTTCTCTTCCTACAATCCCACTATCCCCACCATATTACTCCTTCTTTTCGTCCTGCTCCTCTTCGTCGTCAACCAAATCCCCCAGGATCGTGGCATGAACGTGCGAAAGGACGAACGGCCAGGCTCGGAGTGATCGGAAGCGACGGGACGCGAGACGAGTAGCGAGACGAAATGCGAGATGTGACGTGTGACTTTGACCGACGTTTTCAACACCCACCGACGCGACCTATCACCTTTTTTTTTTTGTTTTCTTTTTTCCTTTCTTTCTTCTTGTTTTCTTGTTTTCTCGTTTTTTTTTCCTTTTTTTTTTCCCCTCATTTTTCCACACTTTTTTCTACGATAAGCATCACTTTTGGGTAGTAACATTACGCCTTTCGACAGATCGTTCATGTTTATATAAGTTATTCATTTATTTTTAATCATTTCAATAAGAAAAATAATTTTATGCGTAACCCTCGGTTATAGGGGGCTAGGGCGAAGGAGAGAAGCTGGATATCGTATTTGTTTTACTATTATTTCGTAAATGTTAAAATATCTTTTTAATGTTTCTTCTCTTTTTTTTTTTTTCTTTTTTTTTTTTTTTAATTCAACTGTTTTGAATCATTAATCATAAATAAATATCATTTATTTTCTATTTTTAGATGATATTTCATATGTTGTACCTAACATGAAAATGATTGTTCCATTAATAATTAATTCAATCGTATAAAAATATAATTTGCCATTGTTCAAAGGAATAGATATTTTAGCGTGCATGATAATATTTATAAAATGTCCTATAATATAATAAAATAAATGTAACATTCCTGATAATTATTACGTTCGTCATAAAAGATGATGAAAATGAATATAGGAATGGTTTTATAACTCATTCTATTACTTACAATGCAATCCTAGGGATAATAGCTATTTTAATTTCATTCGTAGGATATAAAATATAAAAGAAGAATTTACGAGGGTTCTTCAAAGTTTAATTTTAAAAGGACAATTTGTTTAAATAGATACATCTTTTGTTAATGATAAAGAAATAATGTACGGTAATCATAATGTTTTTCAACATCGTTCAATAGCATTTAACGAGTTCTAATTGGAAGTATATCTAATTATAAGGATGTATCGAAGAAATCTTTACGATTCTCTGAAACATTTTAAAGCGTATTTTATTCTTGAAATGAGATATCGCTATGGAGACACGGATTACGGAAGATTTTTCTGGTCGACCTTAAACGCGAACGTAAGAAAGTGGTTTTCTATCTTGTAGATAGGTCGGCCAATCTGGTATAACCGTTTCGAAACGTTTTCTTACGATCAAACCGGGATATATGTTTTCTTTGATAAAAAGATAGACCTTGTCTCGAACGGCTAAAAACTTACCTCGTTGGAAAACGAGTGTTTTACCGGATATATAAAGAGGTAGGGGATAGGGGTGGGCTTTCGGAGAGCGTTAAATATCAGAGGAGAGAACCATTTCGATTATCCGTTAAGGTGAATGTGAGTAATTAAGTGGTATAACTTATAAGCTTGCTCGGCCGCTGTCGAGACGCTGTCGGGTTTTATGGCTTTATGGCGACTACAAGATGTAATTACTCTTTATGACCTTATTTCTGACGTGATCTCTTTGAGGTTGCCGCCTTTGTCGATGAAATAAAAGATGTTAGTCTGTCGAGTGAACCGTTCTATCCTTCTGGAATGTTCAATATTTTGCAAGTATCTCACGAATACATTTTTATTGTTAGTTCCATTTGGACACCTTAGTCATTTAGATCGTTATCAGAAACATTTCTTTTCTATTACAGTCCCATTAAATCAAATTCGCGCGCTATTACCCTAATTACTTGCGTTATTGAACATATCCTGTTCGCTTGTTCAACAAGTTGTCATTATTAATTTGATCTTATGTTTGATTTCGTTTTCATGTTTCATGTCTTATATAATAATACTTCACACAAATAAATACTGTGGTAATGTCGAATTATTATATATAAAATATATTAATCTATTTTATATAATTATATATATAATCTATTGTATATATGAAAGATAGAACGGGTGATACATTTCATAGATATTGGATTTGTATCAATTCCTATAAGAAATAATCGTAATTATTCTGTATACCTTTGTTATATTATTTTTGTTTTAACTAGTAAATTCTAATACAATGGACTCTTCGGTATAAAATTATGAATTTGATTTAAAAAATTCGACATTTTTCAATATATTTTAAGTGACTTTTTTTATATATATAAATTCAAGAAATGTCTTATAAATATATGTAACATATTTCTTGAATACACACACACACACATACATTCACAAACTGTATGTATATATATATATATATATATGTCGATCCATTGTTTATTCAGCAGTAAAGCTTTTACATAAGTAAACGCTTCGTTCGTTCCAGCAAAAGCTTTGGTAAAGGCACACAAGGAAAAAGAACGCTTTGGGTAATGAAAGTTTACTCGCAAAAGCTTAAGAACCTTCCTCGAAGCAGCATACTCGACTTAACGCGATTTTAATAATCACAGCAGGAGAAGTCGCGTTTTACGATGCGAGAGAGAGCTTTTCTGTCGTGAGAAAGCTGCGATCTCTCTCTCTCTCTCTCTCTCTCTCTCTCTTTCTCTTCTACCTTCTGGCCGCTATTTCTATCTTATCTTTTTCCCGTTGAACGCGTTGGACGCTCCAAAGTGGCCGTTAGATACGAGCAGTTTCCACGGAAGAGCATTAGCGGCGTTATTAGCGCTAGTTAGAAGATACGCTTTGGTGAGCGACGAGAGCGCTGTATAATTATCCGACTCCCTTTCTCTTCTCTCTCTCTCTCTCTCTCTCTATCTTTCTCTCTCATCCTCCCTACTCAAAATCGAAGAGAAGAGACAGAGACGACGTGTTTATGCGGCGTCGACCGAGCGAGACCCCGGGTAAGTATCTCGAAACTATCTGTGACTCGACGAGGCAGCTTCTGCCTTGCTTCTGTCAGCCTCTCGAAAGCTACGAGGATGATGAACCGACGAATGATTTAAACCTGCTACCCACTTGTACAGTCTTGCACCTGTCCATCTTCTTTTCTTTCTTTTCCTTCATTTTTCCTTTTTTCTCCTCATCCTGTACTTAAACACCGATGAATCACTAACGATAAATTACTATCGACGTTTTCGAAGAAAGCAATGGTTATCCAACATCTTTGAAGAGAGAGAGAGAGAGAGAGAGAGAGAGAGAGAGAGAGAAAGAGAGAGGAAGATTACACGATGCGAGTTAGTTTATTATCGATACTTAATGGATAACGGATATATCCTTCGTTCGTTTCTATTTCAATTTATTTTATTTTAATTTAAAAAAATATGAATTAGTATTTAACGAACGAAAGGGAGATTATCTTTACTTAAATTTTTTAAGTAAAGATAATTTAAAAAAAATTTTTTTAATTTTTTGAAGTTAATAATGAAATTAAATTGAACGATGATAAGAGTCGTCGTTGATATATATGGGTTGTTCGAAAATATATTCGGTTATCGAAGTATACAATTATTAAACGTTATGATATTTGTGAATTATTTCAAAATTATTTGATAAAATATCTGTTGGAAAAAGATAGAGTATCGTTATCAATAATCAAATGTGAATCTGCAAGCTAAACGCAACTCATCGTTGAAAATATAGATGGTGAGAAATAAAATATTCTGTGGTTCATCACAGTTTCACAATACGTCGCGGATTGTACGCAGAAGCTTTATAAATATCGGAGAATGCGACACCTTGTATCGAGGTCGATCGTCTCGCGTTCTTCGTGAGAGACATCCGAGCGAGTAGCGTTTGCAAAATTTATGTTTCCGGCCATTACTCGCGGCATTGTTACGTACATACATATTCGTCTGAATTTTTGCACATAGACATTTAAAAATATTCAGATATTGCTATTCGTTGTAGATTCATGAAACGAAACAACGTAGGCGTCGAAAGTGATCTGAAGTTTGCTTGGATTTAAATTTGTAATAGTTTTATTTTTCAACGATCCGTATTACCGGAGTAAAAGTTAGCAACGTGTGTCTCTTTAATGTTCACAGTCGTCGTATCGGGGTCGAGCAGTTTATGAAGCGTCCTCTATATATACATTGTTGTGTGCAAATCGATTAAACGTTACGGCACTCTCGCAGTTACAGACCAAGTCGAATGATTTATAGGAATATATGCGCCAAAACGGGAGTAAAAAGAATTATAGGCCGGAACAAAACGCACTATACACGATGCGGGGAGATCGTTCTGATGTTCTACTAGTTTCTCTAACAACGAAGATCGACCGTGTGAATGAATACATTGAGTAAGGTGAGGGTTAATTAAGCAACGTAGAAGTAGAAAAGAGATTATCGAATTTACATACTTTGTAGATTTTTATTATAACAATAACGTGACCGATATAATTAATATCTCTAATCTATTTTGATTTATAAAAAATGTGTATTATAAATAAGTCGACGCGAGTTGAATGTATTTGTGTCAATGGCGACCCGTAATTGTTCGTAATTGGTGCTATGAACGTAATTATTATCTCTGACATTATCGTAGCAGATATTGATCGTCCATTCCATAATTCATCCGCAAATCTTTATTACTACGAGCACGTCGTGTCTTCAAATTTATTATTCCTTAAAGTTGATTGCCGTCGGAATGACGGGACAAACGTGATCGTTAGAGCAACGCGTTTAAAGCTTCTAACGATAGCAGAGAAGAGTTCGCGCGAACGTTATCGTTATCGGCTTTCGGTAATAACGGTTCGTGCCTGGTGCTATAACGCGTTAGCGTCTACGATTTATACGTTTCTCTCACGCAGCCTTACTTTTCGTAATTTCCTTCTCAGGAGCAGTTCGTCGTCGTCTCTTCGAAGAGTTAACTCACGCGCGCACACCTTGTATACTTATTTACTCTAAATTAGTACTCACCTAGAAAATCGCGGCAATCTAGATAAGTCGGTCGCAATGTTTAACCTCAATTCCTTGTCCTTAGTTTCTATTTATTACAAAGAAAAAAGTCTCAAATCTAGTATGGCGTATGTGTGTAATTTGCGAGCGTG